TGTTCTTGACCGTGATCTTATTTAGGTCCCGATAATCTATACATGGGCGGAGGGTTTTGTCCTTCTTCTCGACAAAGAAGAAACCGGCCCCAACTGGAGAAGAGGAGGGGCGGATGATACCTGCTTCGAGAGAACTGTTTATATAGTTCTCCATGGCTTGACGTTCAGGTCTAGACAAGTTGTATAATCGGCCAGAGGGAAGTGGGGCGCCTGGAAGAAGATTGATGGGACAATCATAGGGCCGATGAGGAGGCAAGGAGAGGGCTAAATCTTTACTGAAGACGCGTTGCAAATCGTGATAATCAGGTGGGACCTTAGAGCCCAACAAATACTCATCATTATGACAAACAGAAATTCTTGAACACCCAGGGAAATAAATGCACATGCCTTGGGGCAGTTATAAAGACAAATAGCGAGTTGCGTTGGGATACTTCCAAAGAGAAGTGGGCCAAATAAATGAAACTTTCTGACTTAAAAACATATTAAAACTACAGTTTACCCACTGATCACAGCAAATATAGCTGCCATTGTTACAGGTAAAGAGATGATAGGGTAGCTCCTCCCAACGCGCATCAGACCCACTTTCCATCGCGCAGCTGGAGCAGCAATGATGCTGCAGCTTCGCTTCAGAACTAAACTTGTACAAGCATCAAAAATGAAGCAGCACACATGTTTTTGTTGCTCTTGCTGCTTTAGGTGTGAAAGTAGCATAAGAAAGACTGTTCCTTCTATAGCATACCGTTTTATTTCCTTCGATAAGCAGCATTGCAAACAAAATTGTAAAGATTTTCTTCAGCTTTCCCTCCTGCTACCACTTTACCATGTAACTCAGTAGATGAGGTGGTTGATAGTTTCCATTCTAAAGTTGCAGACATCATTGAGTCCATTGCTCCAGTTAAATTGAAGGTTGTCTCTGGGAAGATGAAATCCCCATGAAGAAATGTTCCAGTAGTGCGAAGTGACAAGAGGGTGTGTCGAAAAGCCAAACGAAGGTGGTGAAAGAATGGACTCCAAGTATACTATGAAATCTATAAAGAGAACTACACCTATGATTTATGACTAAAAGTTGCAAAAGAATCTTTCTTCTCTGAGATTATCAACAAAAACATCAACAATGCTTGTGCCTTATTTGACACAGTCGACAGGGTAACAAACCCTCCTATCGCAGTGGCTGATTATTTAAGCAAGCCTATTCTGCCTCCACATGATTTTTATGATGTTGATTTTTATCTTTGATGTTATTTTCACTGTGTAGCACTTTGAGATTCTTGTTAATGAAAAGTGCGGTACAAATTGGATTGATTATTATTATTAACTCCACACTAGAAAGGCCTGCTATGATCCACACGAGAAAGGCCTGCAATGAATTTATAAATATTTTTACTGTAAATATAAAGGATAATATAAAAGCAGTCTGCACATCAATGCCAACTACAGTAGCAACGCTATCGCTAGTTAGAATTCAATGTAATAAAATGTCCCAATTCTGCCCAATAAACTTCAAAAGTTTAGCAAAAACTGTTCAGCGGCTTAGCCCCTCTTCCTGCTGTCTTGATGTTTTACCTATAGGTTTTAGTGAGAAGGTTTTGCCTGTTATAGAGTTTGATTTGATTGAAATCATAAACACATCCCTTATGTCAGGTGTTTTCCATATAGCATTAAAAACAGCAATTATCAAACTATTGTTGAAAAAGAGAAGCTTGGGCAAATTATTCCTCCCCTCAAACCTCCCCTTCATCAGTACGATTATTGAAAATGTTGTGTTACAACAGTTAAATATCTTCTTAACAATGACCAGGTGTGTTGATAGCTTCCAATTGGGTTTCTGTGCCGACCACACTACAGATACTGCCCTGATTAAGGTGTTCAATGACATCCATATAAATACAGACTCTGGATGAACCACAGTACTGGTATTACTGGACTGCAGTGCAGCATTCGATACTGTTGCTCAATTGATTTTATCAGAGCATCTGGAAAACTGGGTCGGTCTTTCTGGTACCACACTGGAATGGTTTAAATCCTACCTGAAGGACGGGGACTTCTATGTGTCATTAGGGAACTTTAAATCAGAGACCAAAAAAAATCATATGTGGGGTTCCTCAGGGCTCAATTTTGGGGCCCTCTTATTCAACATCTATATGCTCCCCTTAGCTCAGAATATAACAAAAAACAAGATCAGTTATCATAAAAAAGCAGATGACACACAGCTTTACATAA